ATTAAAGAATAATTTAAAAAATAAAAATTTCACCAAATTACTAGATTAGCATAAAAATCATCAGATATGGTGAAATTTCACCAATCCTGGCAACTTTAGTCAGTCAGAAAAACAAAAAATCCTATTTGCTGTTACACCAGGGCTACAAACTTAAATATGAAATTCCCATTATGCCAATTTCATTAAAATCTACTATAAATAAAAATTTAAAAATGTTTCTTACTTGGAGAAAAACCCAATCGCCACGTTCTAATCCCAATTCGATGATTTTTTCAGCYACAGGTCCTTGTCCTTGTCCCAGCGAAATCGATTTGATCCTTTCACGAAAACCCATTTCGTCGGCAAAACGCTGAAACGACCCAAAAGGATCCGAACCGGTGCTCAAAATAAACACCAAAGGAGTTATATTTGACGTATCCTGATACCTATCAACAAAATTTTTATCAAATTTTCATAAAACTGAAATTATTTAACTTACAAAACTTGAAGCGACACTTGTGGACTTTCAATAAACTGCTTCCCCAGTTTAATTTTGACATATTCGGTGATGGCAAACACCAACTTCTCCTCTTTCAGCGTTTTCAGGAGCAACAATTTGTTGAAATCGTCCAAAATCTGGTTCCATTTCAGGCCACTAGCTCGCGCATTTGGCACCACTGAAATATCCTGACGAAAATCCGAAATACTAACACTGATCACATTGGTAATTTCCTCGGGTAATTTCTCAAAACCTGGAATACTAACAGCGAGAAAATTCGCCGAAAGCCACATTGCATCGGTGATTAGCGCATAATCCGGCTTTGGGGGCAACTCGATTTTAGCCCCCACGGGGCCCCGAAGCAAAAAATTCCACTGATTATCACTGATTTCCCCCTTCTCCTGATAAATCGCAACACAAAGCATAAAACTATAAACCAWTTTGTGTCTRTCAAACAAACCACGTGACACATTCGTATAAACAAATGCCGTTATTTCGCGTAATAAAATCACAAGTCGTTGTTTAAGATCAGCACTTTTCTCACTAGTCTCAATRACAGTGTTGAAAATTTGTTTGAAATATTTCAACGAGTATTGATACATCGGATCAATTTCAGCTAATTGAGCAATGACGAAATAAAGAACTGAACCACGGACTGAAACAGTTCGGTATTTTTCACGTGCTTCTGAAATTTTACGTTCGGTTGATTCGGTTTCCAAAAGACGGGCTGCAATCACAGCTGAAGTTTCCTGAAATTGAGAGAAATTAAATTGCATTTTTGAGAGACTAAATCGTTTACTTTGCTCTCATTTAGAGTCTCAATTAGTTCCTCATCGTCCAAAATGTTACCCTCGGATTGATACAACAATTTCAAAATCTTATCCTCGATTAATTGCAATTGGGTTTTGTCGTTATTGATTCGTATAATCAATTCCGTTCTTTGAGATTCCAAATCGGGCCGTTCTAGACGCACAACATCACTAGAAAAATTATTTTTGCAAAGTTTGTGACCCGAGATATAAGGGGTGTTTCGCCTAAACCCCACATTGACTGTAAATTATTTTTTTTTCTTTCAGGTTGGTATCAAATATGAAATTTTAGTTTGACAACTTTGAGTGGCAAATTCAAAGGTCAAATTGTTATAGTGTTGCCATCTGAAAACAATTAAATTCACCAGATCTAGGCTGAAAACTTACCTATTTTAAATGATTTAATTTTTTTTAATAATGACGAAAATTCACGTCGCAAATCTGCTCAAAAACGTGTTTAAACGTTCAAAAAATTCAAAAATAGGTAAACGCTCTTTCATTTAGTCTTATTCTATGATTGTTTGTTTAATTTTTAATTAAATTTTGAGAAATATCGGGTAACAAAAAATCTATTGGCAACACTGAATTAGTGTTTTTTTTTCATTTATTATATCAGAATGTTTCAGGTGACGGCTAAATCAGTAGTTGCAAATGAATGACAATTGTCTATAAAAGTTTGACGTTTGAATTTGAAAATCAAGGTTGCCAAATTAAAAATTAAATTTAACACCAAAACATTTACTGTCACCCGATTTTTACGTTTTTACTTGAAAAACATGCTAAAAACACATGATAAGATAAAAATAATGACTTAATTTAATGTTTTTTTGGTTTGTTTTAGCAAAATTTTAGCATTTCAGACTTAATTTTATAATTTCAATGTTTTTAAATTCATTTAATTTCGCAGAAAAAATGCTCTAAATCTTAGAAAATACATAAACAAAAATGAGACATTTTAGACTTGATTTTATTATTTTTTACCTTGTTTTAACATAATTTCCCAAATTTTGTGAGTTTCTCAGTAGGAAACGCTACTACATTTACAACAAACTCATTTTAGAGTCAATTTTGCAATTTTAAAAATTAAAAAAAAAATTCAACAACACTAACAAAAAATTATTGAAAATAATGCACTTCAGAAGAAGTTTTGAAATTTTTTTTTCTTTCTTTCAACTTTGATAAATTTTCGGTTTATTTTTAACGAAATTTTGCAAAATGGTTCTCTGTCTGGCTAAAAACATATTAAAATGGACAAAATAATGTGCTTTTTGATTCATTTTAGCGATTTTTTTACCTTGTTGGGTGAATTATCTCGCGATTTTTCAACTTGTTTTTGAGAAAATTTAGCATTTGAGTGTCTACATAACTAAAAAAAAAGTGCAAAATGCTCACAAAAAAACAAAAAAATAGTGTCATCATTTTTGACTGAATTTACTATATCAATAATTAAAAAATCAAATTAAAAAAGTTAATTTTACTAACATTTGGACGAATATTCGATTTAAAAAAATTATTTCAAAATACAGTAATTTGGTGCTGGAACTACAGTCACGTTTCTAAAAAATCATCAGAAATTAGAATTTTTAGAAAAGGTTTCACCAAATCATTAAACTAGTATAAAAATGAAATTTCACCAAACCTGGCAACACTGCTTTTATAGGCAATTGTCATTCTTATATAACAAATTAAAGGGATTATCAATAATTCAGTGTTGCTACAAACACGGTATTTATCTAAAAATTTGTATACACCGGAAAGCTTTGATTTTGAGAAACTTTTTCGATTTTTTCTTTAATTTACCCCATTGTGGGGTTTAGCCTCAACACCCTGTATAAACTACTACTTACGCTAATAACTGATCCTCTAATCCCGATTTTGTCACTGTAAAGTTAACAATCGTCACTTGAATACAAATTTCGGGCAAATAATGCGGATTTGCCAATTTTGTAGTGACATAAAAACGAAAATTCGTATCATATTCCACATCTGAATCCCCCAAACGAATCAAAAGTCTTCCAGCCTACAAATCCCGATTAAAATCCACCCCCCAAAATCGGGATAAATCCCACACAAACCTGCATAAACGTCTGTTTGGTCAAAATCGGTCCCAAAGTGGGATCCAACGTCTCCCCCACCTCCTCCAAAAGCACCGGTTTACCAATCCGAATCGCACTCTCTAAAACTCGCAAAAAATTCGAATCGGTGAGTTTCACCACTCGCAAATCATTCGCAGCTTCCATTTGTCGAATCCAACGATTCGCTTGCTCTTGTGGATCAATCATAAGGGCCCAACGACTTGCCTGGGTGACCAAAATGGCGTTTTCAGTCGAGACAGTGTCACGTGGGAGACCGAACGAATTCCACATACGAATATCATAAGGATCGGCTAGGACCCGAATCAAACTAAAATTATCCGAAGCGGGAATTTCAAACTCTTTGAATTTCTCCACCCATAAATCGACGAGTTCATTGCGATACAAACTGGTAAATGCGCCTAAATAGGCCACACAAGCGGCCGCAATTAGGGCATCACCAAGGATATTTTCAAGTTCTACAGCGAATTCCTTCACGGAACGCTCCCATCGGGCTTGTTCGTCGCCGAGGGCGACATTTAAACGACCAGCACGATTGAGTCGATTTGATGTTAATTCCATTTCGTGCTCGAGGGCGTCTTTTTCGGCCAATGTTTGGTTGAATTTCGCCTCGAGGGCGGCGATCATTGCTTCGACTTCGGCGAGTTGGCGCTGCTTCTCGCGTAGGAGGCCCATCACCTGGTTCAGCTCCTTTTCGGCCTGCTCCAATCTAAATTACAAGCATTGAATTAAAAAGACATTTTTTTTTTACATTTTTTGATATTTTATTTAATATTTAACATTTTACTAAAACATGATAGCTTGAACGCTCTCACACCCGTGTAAAACGTTAATTTAACCATCTTTGTCATGTAGTAGCAATTGTTTTTCCCAAAGAAAAGCAAATCTATTAAAAAAATAAAAACAGAAGATTTACTTTTTTCATCAAATTTTCTGATAATTTAAAAGTTTTTTTCTGTAAAATTAATTCAATATAGTATTCATTTTGTTTAGATACTGTGTTTCAGTTTGTCATTAGTTAATTTAAAAGCAAACCAAAAACAAAAAGTATCAGAATAAGATAATTTGCAAAGGCAGAACAATTTGATGACAAAACTGATTTGAAAGAAAGTTTAAAAAAGACACAAAAAATAAGAAAGAAGGAAAAATTGGAAACAAGTAGGAAGAAAGCACAACATAAGAAAGAATAAAAATATAGAAAAACGAATATTGGACTTAAAATTAGAAGAATGTAGGACAGAAATTTTGGAGAAAGAAGAAAATTATGAAAAAGTATCAAAAATGGATTAAAGTAGGCAAAAAAATCGAAATAACAAAAAACCTGAAAGTAATTTAATATAACTAAACAGGAAGACTAAATGAAACAAGAAAATAGTAAACAGAAAAAAATGCAAAAGTGTACACTTACCTAAATTAACGTTTTAATAAAAACATAATAAGAGTGCGTTGGATTTCAATCATTAAACGGAAGTACGTTACTGGTTATTTAAAAAAGACTAAACAGTGACGTAAATTTACAAATACGGTCCTTATTTTTTATTACTAGTTAAACGATTTATTTTTATTGTAAAATGAAGAATTAAATTTAAATTCATCATTTCTGCGTTCATTTGTACAAACTTTCTAAATATTGTCAATTTGTTGGTAAGAGTAATTTTTTGTTGCCAACTGAAAACACACTTTCAATGTAAAAAAATTATGAAACTGGAGAAAGATATGAATTTTTCAAAGCCAATTGAGGAAACAAATTTAAATTTATCATTTTAAAGTCATATGAAAGGTTTAATCTGCATTTTTTGGAATTCACTGAAAAAAAAATTCATTATTTTTGCGTCTTTTTCAAAGCAAATTCGAATTGAATTAAAACAGTTTTTTGTGCATAATCGGTAAGTTTTTTGCAAAATCTTGAATTTGATTGGTTGGACACATTTGTTAATTTATTGGTCCGATTACAAGGGCCAATAATAATCAATTCCCATTCAAGTAATTACCAATAACGGGAGAACAAACCGGTTTTTATTTCTTATTGGCCAAAATCCGACAAAAACCTAGCAACGATAAGTAACTCCACCCATTTAAAAAATCTTAAATAATTATTGAATTCTGAATCGAATTTTTATAACAAATCAACGTTTAGTGTGAGTTTTCTCACTTTAATTGGATCTAATTTTGCACAATGGGGAGCCAACCCCAGAGTCAATATAATTCATACACTTTCGATTATTAGACCAATAAAAAGTAAACAATTATTTAATACCTTAAAGTTAAGTAGCCAATCAATTACGTCTTTTAAAATCAACCAATCAGAACACGTCTTCGATTTTTCGACAAGAAAGATAAAAATAATAAAAATTTTTGTTTTAAAAATTGGCTTCTTTGATTTTATTGTCAATATAAAAAATTATTATTTAAAGAATAAACGTTAATTAACTTTCTTTACTATCAAATGTCCAAACTGTCAAAATTTGACATTTTTGGAAGATTTTATTGTGTACTAAAATTTGTATTTTGCTCAATTTTTGATTCAAAAACATCGATTCGAGTCGTTTTTACCTTGATTTGCCAGATCTTTCAAAAAAAAAATAATTCATAAATCCATAGTTTGACAGACTGATTCTTTTCGTACAATTAGTGCAAAACTTAACAAAAATTCAAAATGGTTTCCAAAAAGAATTCAAATTTTCAAACAAAATATCATTTTTTTGTTTATTTTTTTTTTGTCAAAAATTTGGAAGATTTCAAAAAGTTGATTTTTTTTTCTAATTCCTTGAATTWAAAAAAAAAAATTAAAACCTCCAAAAACAGGGTGGTCAGAACTAGCGCCCCAGAGAAACAAAAATCAAGTAAGATAAGATACATAGAAAAAATTTTGACATGTATTTTTTGACATTTGACATTTCTTTATTTACATTTTTTTTACTCTTTCTCAAGACTTCAATTTCTGTTTTTCAACTTCTGATTTCCAGTAATTTTGGCAAATTTTAGTTTTAAATTTATATTTTGAAATAATTAGCGATTTTTTTCTTTTTGTTCTCACAATGCTAGTTGGTTTTGACTTGAATTAATCTCAATGACCATTTTATTTTTATTTATTTTGAATTTTTTTTTACAAATTTCTTTCATTTCTCAATCTTGTAATTTGAGATTGTTTCAGAGTTGCTTAATTAAAATCTGAAAACATTTG